CACTGAAAGAAGGTGCAACTGCCTGTTTAAAACAAGAAATTCCGTTACATGATCCGTTAAAACAACAAATTCCGTTAGTTTTTCCGTTAAAAACAAGAAATTCCGTTACATAGCCACTTTTAATATATAGAAGAGATAGAAGATATGATACAATTGTCATTCAATAATGAACTTACTATTTACAACATTATCCTCTTATTTGTGCACCTATTTATTCCCAACTTGGAGTCCCCACAAATTCTAGGAAAAAGAAAAGAATAATACCAATTGGTTAATTTCATCCAAACGTGAAAATAACTGAATGGAAAATGAGGATTTCGAGGAGGGTGCAACCAAAGTTCAATTTCAACACTTACCCATCCAATAAAACAGGAGGAAATGCCTTCAACGTGTCAAAATGATCGCCTTGTAGTCTGAAATTCATAGATATTTGGCATTCTTCTTTTCAGTATCAAGGGCTACTCCTCTGGATCGTACAAAAAGGTTTTTTTTTTTTTTTTTGAATAATGCTACTCGCAGTGAAGACTATTGACTCTATGTGATATACAAGTGATAATTTGTTATTTGATATATTAATGTAATAATTTTTTATTACCTCATACGTCAAATAATAATCTGTCATGTAGGACGACTACTGATAGTTTTCACTGTAAATAACATTATTTTTATTTTTTAGTGAAGGGATATACTTGACAAAAATGTCCTTTCACATAAAAAAAAAGGCCAATTGCATTTCAAAGACCAAACTAATGGCCCTTGTAGACAGAAGTATTCCAAATGGACCATTTTTGCAAAAATTGAAAAAGAGACTATCTACACCACATTTGAAAGGATTGGACCTATTAGCAATATTAGAAAAGGTTTGGGACCATCTGTGTCAATTTCCCAATAGAAAAGCAGTTTAAAAATTTGATTTGAAAAATGCATAATGTAAACATATGGTGTGATTTGTTATTTCTAATTATGAATGGGTGTATTTTGTAAATTTCCCACTAAAAAATGCTGGCACTGGAATGTTGATAAAAATTCTGCATTAAAGAGCAAAAAATGCAGTGTCTCATGAAAAGGCTCCTCTGAATCATATATCATCATGAATGCTTTACAAATAACACAACTTCCAATAGAGATCAAATAATAAGAGTAGAAAAAAATTTTGCACACTTCACATTTAAAACGATATCCCAAATAACCCAATGTATTGAATATCTACATGTAAATTTAATTACGCGCACCTCATAAAGATAGATCGTACCCTCATCTCTTAAACATGAACACAAATTACACACTTTTGCAATATGCATAAATGGATTCTTCTTGGCTAATTCCAGGTGATACAAAGATGGTTCATTCTTAGAGGCCATACAAGAACATAAAATGGTGATGAATGGTGCCATTTCTACACATATCTCGCAGGTGCCCCATTCTAAGCATTAATCACCAGTTGAACTTTCTTTCACACGAGAATTTAAAACCAAGTGATTTTTTCTATCAGTCTCAAGAAAACCAGGAGGTTTCCCGTATTAAACTTCCAATTAAGAAGATGATACAGGAGACTGATAAGTTTGGAGCAAAAGCAAGAAAGTTTTAGTAAACCAGTATATACATTAACACTAACACCTAAGGGGGTGTGACTACAGCTAGAAGCAAAGGTCAGGATCGGAATTGCAATTTGAGTCGTGCATTCCCTTAAAAGCCCCTTTAGTCTGGGTCTCATGTTCGAATAGGATTATAGGAACTTGTCTTGCCTTCCACCCCAACCTCCTGCAGCGGGTTGCCGAGTTCCTACCCTACCTTCAGTATGCACCCCATCCCAACCTCCTGCAGTGGGTTGCTGAGTTCCTACCCGGCCTTCAGAATGAACCCCACCCCAACCTCCTGCAACGGGCTCCCAAGTTCCACCCCAGCCTTCAGCATGGACCCTACACTGACCTCCTGTGATGGAGTGCTGAGTTCCACCCCAACCATCCATGGGTTGCTGCCAATTTCTGGGATCACAAGGCATAGCATATTCAGTGTCTCCCCAAACATCATCAGGCCTCTCTCTCCAACCTTCAGTGGTCTGTGTCTTATCTGTCCAACCAGACTCAAATGACATAGCTTGCTTGACTTGTCCCCAACTCCCTACAGACGTTCCTGCCCAACCTTGCATGGAGGTTATTCTCTTTGTAGGGAGAGGATTGAGAGGCATAGCTTGTTTTTCTGCTTCCTTACGTTCCCTGATTCTATTTCTTTTCCTCTGGTTCGATTGAGAGGAAATGTTAGGCAATGATGCAATTTGGCGAGAATTTGAAGTACCTATTCGACGTAGAGTAGTGATGCCATCATGGCCGAACAAAAATTCCTTCAATTGGACTCCTCCAATCTGGCCATCCATGAAGGACAAGACATACCGGGTAGAAAGGTTAATACATTCATAGATCTGTTTTATTTGCGGTTGTCCCACTGCCCTAGCAACATTCTGAGACCGATCACTAAAATCCTCAACCTGTGAAGATTGATAATTACTATATACTTAAAATATCCAAGTGCATAACAAATCAAGTATAACAAATAAAGTGTAATTACACTAATACAAGCAACTTTAGAGTTCCATGTTTTGGACGTCCAAGATCCATCATATGTGCTCACACAGAGACCTTTGGGCCACAGATTTTCGACAGAAGATAACTGCAAAGGGTAAAAAGTAAAGGTCAGTTTTGGTTAAGAAACCAGCACCACTAAAATAAATAACTTATCACCAACGGTGTAAGCACTACCTTGATCAGTAGAGTGACAAAGAGCTCAGCCAAGGATTCTTTGTTACTTTTTCCGTAGTTCATAAAATTAGGTAGTGACTTCTTCACTGTTGCAGTATCAGCACCATCTACAACATATAAAGCCAGTTAACGTCCCAAGGATGACCAAGAAAAAGAGCACGAGAACAGTAGGTGTGCAACATTGTTTGGTCAACAAATGTCAAAGAACAAGAAGCAAAGTGAAGCAGGGAATCCTGTATCAGCAACTATTACATATTATATTGAATTTATGAAGAGGAACTGCAGCAGTTTTGGAGAGTAGGCTATCAAAGAGAGCTTGAACCCTTTTTTTCTGTGACAGTAAGATGGCAAAGAAAGGGGAGACAAGCCCTTGCACATAAAAAAAACTGCCAGGTTATGCAAATACCATATTGACAGCACTAAATCTAGAAACACGGTGACGTAGGATGCTACAAAAAAAGAACCAGAATTATAGAAGAAGGGGAAAGAGAGGAAGAAGAGAGGATAAAGGAGGGGAGAGAGAATAGAGAGAGAAAGAGACAGACAAGACAGGATGAGAAAGGCAATTTAGAGAGGAAATTATAGTTTTATCCAATAACAAACTATTACAATTTAGAAGTCTCTTTATATAGGGTTTACACTAATCTAATTTAAGTAGGAAACAACGAATAAAATACTAGAAAATCTATAAAAACCCTAATTAGTTTTCCTAAAATAAGAATCTAAAAAATGCGAGATATTAGTGAAAAATGAAATAGGCAGCTGATACAATCAGTCAATCAACTTAGGTGCACGAACACCATTGCTGCATTCATATGAACCCTTGAAAACTAACTTGAAAGAATATTCACTACATTAATCATTCCTAATGTAAAAGAAGGAAAAAAGGATCTGCAGCCTGCCCTTAAAACACACACAACAACAAAAACTTTAAGACTTGTTATCCATGAATAGGTCAACTACATAAATCCTTTTTTGCTACTCCGCTTGGTTTATTGTTAGAAGCATAGAACTACTCAAGGATCCAAAGTAAATAGATACTTAGCAACCACGGCAAACCATTTCCTCCCCTTCTAATCAATTCTACTAAGTTTCCATCAATCTTATGAACAAGATCCTCTTTAATTTTATGCTACGTGTTCCAACCACTTAAATTGTCGTTTTCTTAATTGATCCTCAATGCTGTGACCTGCATTTGTTGGCATATATTCTCGTTTCTTATTTTATCCATTCTAATA